TTTCAGTACGGTCAGGAATAGAGTCTCACTTTGTTAGCTGATCCGGCTTATTTTCCGTGATCCTGGCTATTCACTCAGGCGGAGAGAATCGGATACCTAATCTGGTTACTGCCTACAGAATGGTTCACTTAAATAGTGCACTTAAATAGTACGTCCTATAATGCGGGCTCACTTAAAATGATATGCTTCAACATCCAGCTAAACCAGCAATCCCTATGTCTTTTTTCATTTATTTTGTAGAAGTTGAGTAGATCCAGCAATTGCCTTTCTGAAATCGTGACTTACGATTTACTGTGCACTCTTTTACAACAGCTTTAGACTAATGGTTTAACAAAGGCCTGCGTCGAATTTCAACGACAGGTCTAGGACTAGTCTAGAACTTAGAAGTTAGAAGCATCTGAGATAACTTTTTTTTGCCAGCTGCAAAAGATATATTTTAATACTCCATTCACACTACATAGATACATTTACACGATACATACACTCTAAAATAACACGATGCACCCTAACACCGATCTACGCTGCGCACGAGGTACGGTGCCAGGTCTGGATCGTCCAGAGGGTCGCGGCTCCGTGGAAGGTCTTGTGCAGCAAAATCCGCCCTCATTTCCTCATAAATCTGTCTATATCTCGCCAGGCGAGCTGAGATGAGGCTGTTGGCGGACTTTGGAGGCGAAGGACACGGGTCTCCGGCAGTCTCCGCCTTCTCGCTGCACGGCTGCAGCAGCTGGCGGTCAGCGGGCGGCTTCGTTTGAGACCGCGGCGGCCACTGCCTTGGCTGGTGAGCAGCAAAGTGGGCTGTACCACCCAGCTCCTCGTGATGCCGTTTTACAGACAGACCGGTAGCTGTGGAGAGCACTGAAACGGCGTTTCCTCGTACGACGGCCATTGAAAGCCGTTGCCAGAGCCAAGCAGTCTCCCTGCGGTCGCCTGAGACGTTGGTGAGCCTTGCTCCGAGCTGTTTGACGAATGACCTCGTCGAGGGACCGCAGCTTCCTCCAGTTTCAAATGCTACCGGCTCAAATAGAAAACGGTCCGAGAGGCTCATGTATTTTCTGCACTTCCTTTGCTCGGCGTCTTGGGCGGCGGCTCCGGCAGATGCGGCAGTGGAGGAGATGTGGGATTCGGCATATGTATTTACACAAGTAGCGTCCCACACCAGGCTGGCTCCTTTCGAATACGGGAAGACCGTCATGCCGTCCGGTCTTTTGCCGTCTCCCCTGTCAACTCCGGTGGGTTCCATGATGGACGGGGCTCCAGCTGACAGAAGGGCACGCCGTATGACGTCATTCAGTGCAGTGTGTCTGGGTAATCGGCCTGCACTGAGACGGCACGTGAGAGCGTGATATCCCTTGTTGTCTGCGATTGCACCGCATTTGCATTGATGAGAACTACACACATCCGCTCCAATCCTCAACGCGATTGAAACACGCAGTGTGTCGTTGTCGAGCAGAGTGCCTAGATTTCCCGATGGTATCGCATGCAGCCAAGCACCACTTTCAGGTGTGCCGGCGCTCAGCAATCTGGCCCGAGAAAACTGGTTTGCATTCCCGAGTAGGGCATCTTGGAGGCGCTCCGCGATCACCGTGTCCCATGCACGCTGCTGTCCTTTGGCGTCCTCGTCAGGAACTTTCGAGTTACCACCAGTTGCAGCCAGCCAGTCTTCAACAGCTGATGTGCACTCGCGCTCTACGCTGATTCTCAGATTCGTGGGCAGCATGGACACTAGCAACTGATAGCAAGAATGCAAAGACGCCACGTAGCTTGGCAAAGCCACGTCCAGTGTTCTACGAAGGCCAAGTCCGCCATATCGTATCGGTAACACGGCTTGCTTCCAGCTTTCTTCCCCAAGGGTCACATTGGCGATAGCGGTGAGGAAGGTCGTCTAGGGGCTGCAGAATCTCTCGCTGGCGGTATAGGGGACTGGCCCTCAGCAGATATTGCAGCTTTGGTAGCCACAGGCTGTTGCACAAAAGGAAAAAGGCCAAATGAGAGTCCAGGATTTGAAGCCGCTCCAGCATGCGCTCTAACTCCTCCTTCTTGGCATTTACAGTCAGCTCAGCGGCGGCCTCTGTCAGTGGTGCTCCAAGTGTCGTAAGCTCATAGTCTTTTAGGACTGCGGCTCCCGGGATGACGCTGTGTAGTTTGTCTGTGAAACAGCTTATTTGCTCGGCTGTGGCTTCACGAGGCACGATGATCTCGCACTTAGCATGATTGAGGACGAGACCGATAGCAGCCATGGCAGGGATAAGCCGTTTCAAGTCTTCACAAACACTGTCCACATGCCCGCCGATAGTGCCGTCATCCAGGTACCAGCAGTTGAAGCAAGATGTGACATCAGATACAACTTCGTGGATTGCAAGGGAGAATACAGCAGGTCCGCATGGATCACCTTGTTGCACACCGGTCGTTGAAGTGATTTCAGTAGTGCCGTAGTACAGCGGGGTTGGCTGAGCATACGCTTGCCAGAGAAGCGGGTAGAGAGCAGGAGCGTGCTCACGCACCACACGAAGGAAGTGGTCACGACGCACCGTGTTGAACGCATTGGCCATGTCTACCTTCACCATGACGCTGTTTTCTGTCATGTGCTGGTAGAACTGTCGCGATGCGTGGACCGCAGCTTCGCAGCCCCCTGGTGTGCCGTAACCAAGCTGGACAGGGCGCAGATCCTGACCCAGTTGGGCACTCAGGGGCCGAAGACCTGTCCTCGACGCCAGTCGTCTGTAGACCGAGCCAACAGCAATCGGCCTGATGCCACCACTGGGCTTGCGCAGGGCAATCAAGGAGGCTCCATAGAAGGCAGAGAGTGCCACTTGAGGTAGCTCCCCGCTGAGGGCAGCGTTCACCAGCCCAGTCAGCGCTGTGGTGAGGCGCAGACCGGCCTCTCCAGCTGATCGCCCGGTCATGTCCTTCAGATGTGCGGGTCTCAGCCCGTCCAATCCCGCGCCAGAGCCCGTGTTGAAAGAGGCAATGGCTGCCGATACATCCGCCTCAGTTGCCGGTATAGGTGGTGTAGACCCGTCTGGGCGTGGTGGAAAAGACAAGTCGGGTGGACTGGGTGGATGTTTGGCCGTCAGACTTTTAACGGCTTCATCGGAGTCCTGGACAATGACGTCACTGGAAGCGAGTAAACGGATCGCGCCACGGATGTCGCCATCAGAGAGTTTACCTGAGACAGCCTTTTTCGGTCTGAGATAACTTGATTCATTGATATAATGAGAGTTCAAAGCTTAGGACAGGTCGTGCTTAGCCTCGGCAGCATACCAATTTTCCTGACCTCTCTTCTTTTGTAAGAAAAGTCCGCCTGTTTTTACCACTAAATAATGTTGCAATGTTGTTTACTGAGAACGCTGATCTTCGGGTTTTTGCATTCCACACGCAGTTCTGCTTGTTGCAAAGTCCTATATTTGAAACAATGCCGGGCGACGTTGAAACGTTTCCTCTCCCTGCAGAACTTCAGCGCAACTTTCTTTTACACTCCACGAATTTTAGAAACCACGGCTATAGAAGCCGTTGACACCGGTAGTCACACCTGTATGAACATACATGAATTCAGTGTTTCATCCCGCGTACAAGATGTACGCGGGATGAACATACCACCGAGTATGAGTAGTCGAATATCCTCCGTCTCTAGTCCGATGAACATTGAACGCAAGCAGACACGGTTCTCCCCTTTCTCCTACACCAGTCGGTACTGCTTATCAGTACATAGTGCCGTTTTCACGACGGGCTATTCGGCGAATGCACCTAATTTGACCAAATCTGCACCTACTCTCTTTTACAGCAAATATCTTCATTTTATGAATTTATTTCAGTGTTTTAACCCTCGCACGACCAGGCCATTTCTCATAACACGAACGACCAGGGGGGGGGGTTGTTACGACCCCCCCCTGGCGTTTCGAAACGGAAGGTCGTAGAGCTTAGCGGAAAAAACCAACGGATTGCTCTCAACGAGATCTCGCGATTGGTGGTATATTTTTTGATCCTAGGTCAACATTTGACCTACTTATGACCGGTCAAAGGTCAAATTTTCCGAAAAAATCAAACTTTTTCAACTTTCCGCGGCGATTGCGGCAAAACGGTGGGAGATATCGACTTGAAACCTTCACTATCGTGTTTCTTGATCAATTCTCTATCGTTTGGTATGTATTTCGTTTCCCTAGCTCTAAAAATGGCGCGTTGGGAGCGCCGGAAGTCGGCAAGGTCACAGTCGGCGGCAGAAATTCGAAAAATCAAAATTTAAATTTTTGAAATCTGATTGTATTTTTGGATTTGGGAGGTCCATTTGCTCCCTATAGAAGCTAATATTGCTGCATATTCCCATTGAGGTGACAAGAATTAGCAAAATAGTGGTTCGGGCGCTTTTCAAAAATAGTACCGGACGCTGTTCCTCTTGTGACGTCATAGCTCCGTGACCTGACCTGACCCGGTCAATTTTCTTGCACCACACGATAGCCAATGCTTGCCCCAACATGCATGGGAAGTTTCATCATGATCCATCAAACAATGTGGGTATCACCGGCAGAAAACCTAGGGATTCGGCGCACACGTTTGGTAACTGTCGGCCGGAGGCTGTACCTCTTATGACGTGATAACTCCGTGACCTGACATGACCCGATCAATTTTTTTTTCGGCAAAGATGCGCAAAGGTTGCCCCAGAGGGTATTGAAAATTTCAGCCCGCTACGACAAGCCGTTTAGCGTGCACTTCGAAAAAACCTCAGGGGGGGGGGTTGATACACCCCCCCCCCCCCTAGGCGTTCTAGGGTTAATCGATGATACTCTCTAATAATATGACAAAGCAGGCATATAAGCAATTAGTGCAACCCAAGCGTATAGCTACTAAGAGATACACTAAACCTAATTTGACCAAATATGCACCTAATCTGCACCAAATGCGCACCAAATGTGTACCAGATGGCCGTCGTGAAAACGGCTAATACCTGCTGCGTGAATAGCTAGTTGCCCACGCCGCCTCCCCGCCCGAGCGTCAGGACCCACCTTGCCGTCGTTTTTGCGGTGGCCCTCGTAGACTCTCCAGGCGCCCTCTGGGCCTCCGGTGGCCACCTGCTTCCCCATCTCGTACAGGTTTTTGATGGGGTTGCCATCGGTGCGAGTGCCTCCCAGTTTGAACATGGCGGCACAGTCCCGGCCGCGCGGCCCGCTCCGTCGAATGGGACGCGTCCGCCGCCGACTGGGGCGCGCGTGCCGACCACGGCGTGGGCCCGGCGGAGCGCGCAACAAGTCGGTGCCGACGGAGCAACTGGTGCCCGGTGTCGGCCGGCGCCGACCGGGTCGGGGGCGCGCCGGCGCCGGCTTCGATCGCCGCCACGCGCCACCTGCACCAATGGGGATAGCATGTGTCGATGGTGTGTCCTTACCTGTCCGCTCGCGGCGCCACCTGCAGCAGTGGGGATAGCATGTGTCGATGGTGTGTCCTTACCTGTCCGCTCGCGGCGCCACCTGCACCAATGGGGATAGCATGTGTCGATGGTGTGTCCTTACCTGTCCGCTCGCGGCGCCACCTGCACCAATGGGGATAGCATGTGTCGATGGTGTGTCATTACCTGTCCGCTCGCGGCGCCACCTGCACCAATGGGGATAGCATGTGTCGATGGTGTGTCCTTACCTGTCCACTCGCGGCGCCACCTGCACCAATGGGGATAGCATGTGTCGATGGTGTGTCCTTACCTGTCCGCTCGCGGCGCCACCTGCAGCAGTGGGGATAGCATGTGTCGATGGTGTGTCCTTACCTGTCCGCTCGCGGCGCCACCTGCAGCAGTGGGGATAGCATGTGTCGATGGTGTGTTCTTACCTGTCCGCTCGCGGCGCCACCTGCACCAATGGCGATAGCATGTGTCGATGGTGTGTCCTTACCTGTTCGCTCGGCGCCACCTGCAGCAGTAGGGACGGTGCGTCGCTGGTGCGTCTTGACCTCACTTGCCTGTGCGATAGTGCCGCCACCTGCTCATCGTTAGAATGGTGTGTTGATGTTAATCATTACCTGCCTTTGAAATGGTGTGGCGATTGTATATCATTAACTGACTGTGCTACGGCCTGTCCCGTAGCTCAGTTGGTAGAGCACCGGACTCCCGGTAGTGAGAGCCCGGGTTCGAGTCGCTCCGGCGCTCGATATTGGAGACTCCTGACGGGGATGGTCTGCGGTTGGTGGTAGCAACCGCAGCCAGTTGAAGTCAATTGAGTGGGACAGGTCGTGTCCGGCTTTGAAGGGCACGTTAAACTTTGGCATCTAAATTCTCCCGTTACCCGGAATTGCGCGATCGGACGGTAGGGGTCGGGGTCTACGCAACAAGCTCTGCTTAGCGTGGGCCCCGGCTCTGTCAATCCGTCCATTCAAACATTCGAGCTAAATTTATTTAAAAAAAAACTGCCGTTGGAATGGTGTATTCTTACCTGCCGTTGGAATTGTGTGTCCTTACTCGTACCTGTGCGGTACTGACACCACCTGCCAATTCCCATTCGATGGTGTGTCGATGATGTACCATAGAAACACCACCTCATGGTCCCAGTTCCGCCAGATGATCCAATGGGACTGCGGCGATGCAGCGTGGTTTTCTACCATTTCAACATGTGGGCATAGCTTTCAAGCACATTCTGTCTTCCGTGGTGCACTGAGCACAATCAGCTCCGCGAGTCGGCCAGAGGCTTACAAACGTTTCATTTCTGTCTGACCAATAGCACGCGCACTGCAGGGGGGGGTTGTTTTCAACCCCCCCCCTGTGGTTTTTCGCAAATCGCGAGAAAACGGCGGCGCGTAGCGCCGCCAAATTTTGCATACCTGTTCTCCCAACTTTTGCACACCTTGAGTAAAAATTTTGACCCCAGGTGACCTATGGTCAGGTCACCAGGTCAGGTCAAGTGACCCTACCTCGAAACGTAAATTTCGAAGTTTGCAATCCCACCAAGCCTACAGTTGTTGAGATATGATCGTGAAACCCACAGGAAATAGTAAAGTCATCACGAGCTACAACTTGTATATCTCGGAATTTTTATATCGATGACCTAAGGTCAGGTCATTTTTGCGACCGGCCCATTATAAGTCAATGGGAGAAATTTCAACTTACTCTGAATGCCATCCTATGACTTCAATACGCTCAGGATCATAGTATTACAGGTCCCTGTTGGTGATTTCACCGAAACATATCACTTATGACCTTTGGAAGGTGATCTCCAGGTCATCTTAGGTCACCTGAGGTCACCAGCGGTTTTTCTTCAATAACTTGAGATTGAATAGAGATAGAGACTCCGTTCGACGTTTATCGTGTTTTTCTCGTCAATGCGGATCGAATGATATGCAACATGACCTATTTCGGTCAGGTCATGACCTTGACCTGAGGTCAAATTTTCCACTTGACCTTTCGAGGTCATATTATATATCATTCGATGCGTCTTGACGAGCTAAGAACGATGGCGTTCGAATCGATCCTCTGTCTTGTGTGCAAGACAAGTTATTCAAGAAAAACTACCGCGAAATTCCTGTTGTGAAAATCGTAACATTTTGTCTTCGGTGACCTCTGGTGACCTCGTTTTTGACCTGACCCAAAAATGATCTTAGTATTTCTTGTACATCTCATCTCAACCTATCCAACGCCGTTTACCGCTTGTCGCTACGTTGCGCCGTTTTCGAGATCTCAGGGGGGGTTGTTTTCAACCCCCCCCCCCCCCTGCAGTTCGTGTTCGGCTCAGACCCGCTGCAGTGCGCGTGATAGGAATGAAAATTGCTTTGTTTCCCCTAAAACTAAGTTGGGCCCAGCTTGAAAATAGTCTAGGTTAACTGAAAATAACCATTACAGTCGATCGGCAACAGAAAATGACATGATAAATGGCATGGACCAGTGACAAACTTTTTTTTCCGTTTTAGATGCAGCTTCCTAACGCGCGCCCGGTTGAGGTCTGTCAGGTTCCACGTCCTTGGGGGGGGGGGGGGCAAAGGGCCTCCTTCGTATCTCCGGAACCAATAGCCGGATCGGAAAAATTCAAACGGCATTCGAAAGAGCTCATCGAGATGCATAATACATGTATAGGACATTGATGACCTTGATATTTGACCTGTGACGTCACAGGGAGGTCAAAAAAGTGGAAGGAGAATGTTTATCGATGTATGTGAGATATGTCTGATTCATGTGAACTTATCTGCATTGATGAACATGTGCATGTAACCTTGTTGGGCCCATGTGGCCTGTTATTGCATGGAAATATATGTTAGGTATGTTATGTAAATCAGTCCAATTTACAATGACGAGAAGTCGGTCATAAAAATGAAATCTAGGTTTCCAAAATGAGTCTGGATATGCTGTATATGATAGATCTGGCATGTGGATAATCACCTGAGTGAATGATGACCTATGACGTCACAACAGAGGTCAGCCTCGACCAATCAGAAAACACTTTCGTGAATCGTAAGAAAAGGCATGTTAAATTGTGAATATTCGAGTCTTTATGAAGACATGTAATATATATGCAACCACAGAAACGTCCTCGACCATTTTTCTTGGACCTATGACGTCACAGGAAGGTCAAATAAGGTTAAATTGTACTGGTTTACAACGGAAACAGTTTTTACGTAAAAGTGACTTTAGTTACTCACGTTCAGTCGGGAAGAAGCTGATACGTATCATAAATACGACTCCTGACTGATACTTGGGACCTAATTATTTCAGGAGTTGTGTAAAATTGATGTACGGAGAGGTAATGAAAGTTTCAAGTCGAAAATCGCAGCCGTTTTTGAGTTATCTGCGAAAAACCGCAAGGGGACCCTTTGCCCCCTCCCCCCCCCCCAACGGGTCAAGGCTAACACTCCAGTACCATAAAAGTATGTGCGTCTGTGTAAGCACGGTTTTCAAAGTGTTCATTTCATCATTTATCTCTTTAAGATGACATTTTTTCTTTTAAAAAATGCAGACATCATTCTGACCAGATTTAATCAGGAGAAGACGATAAGTTGTCTGTCTTCACGCTGTCCGACCGGTAGCGTGTGGCGCCCTCTCCGGCACCTCTGAAGGCAGACCCAGTCACCCAGGTCGGCCGACAAAGTGGCGGCGCTGCCGGCTGCTTACTGTGTGCACTGTGCACTGTGCAGTGAGGGGCGCTGCCGGCTGCTTACTGTGTGCAGTGAGGGGCGCTGCCGGCTGTTCACTGTGTGCAGTGAGCGGCTCTGCCGGCTGCTTACTGCGTGCAGTGAGGGGCGCTGCCGGCTGCTTACTGTGTGCATTGAGCGGTGCTGCCGGCCGTGTAGGCACTGTGTGCAGTGAGCGGTGCAGTGAGCTCCTACCGCGGGGCACTGCACGCAACGCGTCGTGGTCGGTGGCTGGGGTCCTCGTGTCCCTCCTCTTGGAACCATGGCTTCTAATGTCTAACAAATAGCGCACGGCCACACTCCCACTGGTGGATCCAGATAATTGCGTTTGGGGAGGGGGAGGGGTAACTCATGCAGGAGCCAAACTTAGGGTTCCCCTAAATCCTGTTTTCTCATCGGATTCAGGCCACTTATTTTTTGTCACAGCCCCGACACGATGAATACCTTTTAACTAGAAAGAAAAAATAAAGGAATGGTAGCCAACCCGATCCATGCCTTAATATTAGGTACTTTGAAAAATTAGACAATTTTATTGGAAATTTCTCGGAAGCCGTGCTACAGGCGCAAAGACATACACCCACTGCCACATTAATTTTAGGAGATTTCAACGCAGGAAACGCATACTTAAGTGAACAATTGCAAATTCGCAGCAGTGGAGTTACACCATTTGACAATGCGCTAAAAGACGCCGCTGATGGATTATGTTTGCACGAACTAATAACAGAGCCAACGCGTTTTTCAAGAAACTCATGTAATTTAAGAGACTTGATATTCACGAATTGTACAGAAATAATCACTAAGAGCGGTACATTATCTCCATTCGCTAATTTGGATCATTGCCCAATATTCGCATCGTTAAACTTCATGTTGCCCTTACAAAATCAAGCGGACACCAGACTGATATGGGACCAGGGCTGCGGAGTCGGAGTCGGAGTCGGAGTCGGAGTCGGTCGGAGTCGACAGTTGTGACCGGAGTCGGAGTCGGAGTCGGAGTCGATTTTAGAAACCCGAGCCGGAGTCGGAGTCGGAGTCACCGAAAATCTGCCGAGTCCGCAGCCCTGCTAGGTCTGCGGAGTCGGAGTCGGGAGTTGGAGTCGGTCGGAGTCGACAATTCTGCCCGGAGTCGGAGTCGGAGTCGGAGCTGGTTTTTGAAAG